TAAATAGCGCTATCTACTGCGAGGATCGTGCATCATACGTATCTAATACCGCAGTTCAAAATATATGAACTTCATATATTCATTGTATCTGATTTATCATCACGGGTTTATTACGAATCAACTTAACGGCCTGCTCCCAGTTGGCTTGTTAGCTCAATTGGTAGAGCGCTGCACTAGTATCGCAGAGGTCAGTGGTTCGAATCCCGTACAGGCCTGATTTTTTTCAGGTCTGATTTTCGCTATTGCATAAATAGCGCTATCTACTGCGAGGATCGTGCATCATACGTATCTAATACCGCAGTTCAAAATATATGAACTTCATATATTCATTGTATCTGATTTATCATCACGGGTTTATTACGAATCAACTTAACGGCCTGCTCCCAGTTGGCTTGTTAGCTCAATTGGTAGAGCGCTGCACTAGTATCGCAGAGGTCAGTGGTTCGAATCCCGTACAGGCCTGATTTTTTTCAGGTCTGATTTTCGCTATTGCATAAATAGCGCTCTCTACTGCGAGGATCGTGCATCATACGTATCTAATACCGCAGTTCAAAATATATGAACTTCATATATTCATTGTATCTGATTTATCATCACGGGTTTATTACGAATCAACTTAACGGCCTGCTCCCAGTTGGCTTGTTAGCTCAATTGGTAGAGCGCTGCACTAGCATCGCAGAGGTCAGTGGTTCGAATCCCGTACAGGCCTGATTTTTTTCAGGTCTGATTTTCGCTATTGCATAAATAGCGCTGTCTACTGCGAGGATCGTGCATCATACGTAAGAAGGGAATTGTTCTTAATTTATCTTTATTTTTACTATCCATCGAAATTCGTGCTGATAAAAACATAATGTGTAACACACGACCACGTAACGCGATACGGAAACAGCCGAGCGGCGCGCAGGTTGTCAAGGGTGCCTAAGCGATAAACAGTTTTACAAATAGGAAGGGAAGAAGACAGCAGATTTATAGACTGACCAAGATTTACCACATTTCGTTCGTCCGTCCGTAGTTGTCTGTTAGCACTTTTGATAAGGTTTATTAAGGAAAAAAGTTTGAATAACTTCTCGTCCTGGGGCTGTTAATCAATTTAACGATATTTCTAAAAATAAAATGCAGCGGCAGGGGATTATTTCTGTTTGCGGATTACTGCGGTTTGTAATCACAGCGAAACAAACAACTGAATTACACGTGCCATGCTTCGTGCTGATTGGTGATGACGTCATGTATTTTTGTACTAGACTGACACGCTTGTTTTCAAGTATTTACCCAAGTTGGTTCATATGTAAGAGTTATTCTTATGAATGGAATTTTGCAGTTGCCTCGGCCTTTGAATCACTTCACTCCATCCTCTTTGTTGTTCGATTCAATTCCTTACCTTCCTGTAATTCAAGGGTTGTAAATAAGTGTGTGGCTTCGAAGAACTGACTCGAAAGGTGAGTGAAGTTTCTACACTTCCTTTGGATCTCGCCAAGTTGTTTTTCAAACATGCTAATGAAGGGCTTGTGGGTTCAAATACGCACGAAAGCTCGTATTTAACATGATTTTCAATAAATTGTAAAATAAAATGCGTGTGCCTTAAATTATAAGCTTATCTGTTAACTGTTATGCGTATCAAAGCTGCGTTCCTGCGTCGAATTCTTTGATAATATCATATAGCGTTAAGCTTATTTTCCTCTGCAATGTCTTTTGTTTCGCTGTAGCAATTCCTTTAAAAATGATACCTTTGAAAGATATTTTACAGCAAGAATGTTTTCTTTAAAGCGGTCGATTTAGCAAATATAAATGCCTGCATATCTACTGAAGTAACTGAATGGTTCGATCGCGCGATTAATTCGACTAAAAATACTTCGCTCCCACGGTGGTACTTATAAACTTATATATATTTTATTATGAGTTTCACTTTTTCGGAAGTATTGCGAGGTTGTGAGCTTTACATCGATCGAAGAGTCATTTTAGGGCTGTCAGGTTTAACATTAAACAACAAACGGTTCGTAATTGTCTAAACAGTTGAAGCGCACAAGTCTATGTCACGAATCTTTCATGCATCAACTTGCCTTTAAAGTCGGCGCTCTGTTAAAGAAAGACAATTGTCGGAAAAAAATTTCTAAACGACGTTTCGTGTCCTCTTAAGTGAATTTGAGGGGATTACCAGTTTGTTATTCTGACCTGCTTTCAAAAGCTATTGCCATTACATGAAATTCAATATGACAACAGTACTATAATAATAATTTCAGGGTGTGTTCCTCTGTGCTATCTTGGTACGAGCAATCAATCAATTACGCTATATAGTCATAAATTACAGGGTCAATTGCCCACAAGTAGGGGATGGTGGGTTGAAAATGGTCATACGAACTGCTGTTTTTTAATTTGCATCACTTTCACCAAAAATTTAAATTGGTGCAAAAAAAATGTCAAAATATATGCAATTCTCCCTCAAAAACAAGTCATGGTTCACTTACACTTGTTTAGATTTGCCAATTGTTCATGTTTATAATCTGTATTTATTATTCAGGATTATGATAACTATTGATCATTTTTCCAATGGCTGTTGTTTATGAAACCAGTGATTTCTTTCAGCAGAACAATTTGCTCAGATTTGGTTCGCTTGTTAATTGTGGCAGCTTTGAAATAACCGGTGTTTAGATACAGCAAAACGAGTTTTGAAGGGTTTAGTGGTAATTAATTGTACTTAGTGAACCAGATTTTGTCCAGTAACAGTCTTTACAGATAAATGTGTACGATATAACAAGAAATATGGATTATTAAGTTCTCATCAGGCTGATGTTTTTCTAGTTTTTTCAAATGCAGACTGTTAATTATTCAAATTTTGCCAGACATTGACCCTCTAGATTCAAATCTTTGTTTTGTTTTAGTTTGAGATTGTTGGAGTTTAGCTGGTATTGTTACAATTAACAGAGGGAGATAAAAATAAACAAATCAGATTGCCCTTTGGGAAAGCTATTACCAAGATTTATTAGCCCGCAGCTCCAGGAAGCTAGCCCAAAATTAAGTTCATCATACATTTTAATGAAGTGTCTGTAAAATGTTTACATTTAAAAGGTGGTTAACTCATGTTAAGAAATGGTGTCCATCTGCTCAAATTTTCACAAGTAAATGCAAGAATTTGTCTCTTTTTCTTTGGAATTAATCAATATTTTTAGAATACATATAAGTTATTTACTGATATTACTGAGTACATAACAACATAAACTAAATCAAAAAGCTTTCTTTCTTTCTTTCTTTTTTTTGTATTTCACACGAAATGTACAGACACAACATGCATGTATGCATATATACACTTGAATTGGTCTGGTAACATGTATGGAGCCAAAACAAAAAGAACTGAAATGTATCTTTCTCACCTGCTTATTGAACTAACAACTCGTATTAACCCAAAAGACACACTCCTAACATCAGGAAACTCACCATAAAAACATAGTGGCCTGACAAGAATTGTCACCAGCCCCATGCTGTCATACAGCACTTTTTTCATGCTTGAATAAAAGTACTAGTGATTCAGTTACTACTTTATTTTGTTAGTGTTAGTATTTAAATTTAACTGTAGGCCCTGTCTCCTGCAGGGTTAGGGGTAGGAGACGTTAATTTCCCACGCACAAGATTACTGTGTGGTGGATGTCCTCCCCTGGGGTGGGATGGGTGGGTTAACTG